GAACACAATAGTTGCTTTGAAGGTTAATAGTTTTGCTATGTGTTTCATTTATAATTGAGCCTCTGTTTATGTACATTTTTGTGTTGCTAATAAATTTTACCTTCCACATAAAATAAAATAAAATAAAAAAGCTAAAAAAAAAAAAAAAAAAAAAACAAGCCTAGTCCTAAGACCAAGAACACCACTTGTTATCACGATGCCCTGTCAAGACTATAACATAACCATATGGCTTCGCCTCAAATAGAAAACTAAATGACAACATATTGGATGTCGCCTAAACCCAAGATAATCATTGATTTCAATAGATGGACAACAATACAACATAAGTCCTAGCCAAAAAATGGGTTAATGCTTCGTTGAGCCAATCAAAGAAGAAAGCAAAAAACCTAGAAAAATAATGCGATACACTTGGATTCGACCACTCTAACATATGAGAGAGATGAGGCAAACCACAATAGATACTAGAAATAGGCGGAGGAGGAAATGAGGGAAATGGAAGGACTACCATCGATCTCAAAGCCAAATGCAAGGGCCGGCGACTAGAGGCAAGGCTCTTAGATTTTCTCTCCTTCTTTGCATCAACTAACCCATGAACTCACTTTAAGTTTTGTTTGTAAGAACTTAACCTATAGAAATGATGAAGAAGCCACGATCTTCAAAGTTGACATTCTCCTCTCTATAAGTTTCTCAATGCTCAAAGCTCAACTAATAATAGGCTTTTGGTTCTACAATTAAGCGTATCTCTGTGAGAGCAATGACCACGATTTATATATATATATATATATATATATATATATATATATGTTTTAATCCACTTGAATCTTCTATTAGATTCTGAGTGAAATATTGACAAAGAATCATTGTCCATTGATGAGTACATAATCATGACTGATATATTCAATCCTATACAAAATGAGACAACACCTCTTTATATAAGACTTTTCTTGACCAATTTGAACCACCACAATAGTCAACTATAATTCATAATCAGTTTTTACTCACATTCTAACATTTAACAATTAGTTTCTCACATTCTTACATTCTCTCAATTGAGTATGAATTGTGTTATTAAAAAAAACTTTCAAATTATAACAAAAGTGACCACAAAGTGTATGTCAAAGAGTTTTAATTGCATCTTATACAATCTACTATGCATTTCAAAACATAGAATCCATGAACCTTTGGTGCAATCTATAATACAAAACTAATTGAAGAACTATATATATTCAATTTGCAATTTGAAATTTATAATATAATCTGACTAGTAAAACAAATTCAAATAATTTTACTGCCATTCATCAGGCCAAATCGATCAACCGTCAAAGATGAATTTCAATTAATATCAATTCTAGTAATAACAATCATTCATACACAATAAACAACTTATCAACAATTCAACCAATTGCTAATAAACCATAAATTGGTTTCCAATCATCCAAATAAATAATGATATCACAATTCTGTTTTCACGAGCAATTAATCACAAAACTCTTGAAAAGTTGACTCTATAGCCAACCTATATACCCTTAGACTTATGCTCATTCTCTAACATTCTTGACATGAAAATATTGTGGCCTTGCATGGAAAAACAAAGGTACATGGGTTTATCTTGCTCTAGATCAACCTTTTGTGCTCTATAAGGTCTCTTGCGTCTTTCTTTTTCATTTTCTTCTTCATGAGTAAGCCCATTCGGACCTTTTCTTCCTTGGTCTCCTTACACCCTTCAATTATTTTTTCAACTCTGGAACAAAGTTTGGCACCAATCGGATTTGCATCCACCATTTTTTCTTTGCTTCTTTTTGCTTATCTTATCCCAACAGCCTTGGTATAGACGAAGATGGGATCCCCAATTGGTCAACATCATCGCCAACACTAGCGCTTGACCTTTCTTTAACAAAATAATTTTGTCCAGTGTTGGTCTGCAGTGGTTCACCATATTGGACAATCTTTGAGGATGTCCCAAGCATGAAACAACTTAAAAGCGGAGTATTTAGCCGTATTTCTTGTTTTCTAAATCGCCATTGCTTTCTTAGTCTATGCAAGGAATAGATAAACATCATTTAGTTGGAAAGTAGATTGTGTATAGGGAAAATGAACTATGAAGGGAGACACCCACCACTTCTTCAAACTCCTTCCACTTGCAATGCCAATTACGGCTCTATCCAAGCTTACCTTCCTTAAGTTGCACACTTAGTCTTTCACTGATTGTAAACACCTACAGAGGTTTGGTTAGTAGTGGAGATGGACTTAAATTGTCAAATATTTTATCCCACTTGAGATATTTATTTTTGTTTGTGTTGACAACACCATCCTCACTAGTAGAAATCCATGGCAAGCACAAAGCAACATATGTTTGCCTATAGATTACTTTAGTACACGTGTATAGAAGCGTGGCAAGGCGACATAAGCATATATAATCCAATTTATATGCATGGTTAGTGGAACGTTGGATTCCGTTCAATCTTATTAAATTAATTCACGTGATCTATGTTAATCGACTTGTTTGTGTTCATGCAAAATGAACACATTCATAAACTTAAATTAAGTTTAGAATTCTAACCTTTACATTTCATATGAGGATGAATTCATTGTTGGTGCTCCCATGTGTTAACCTTCTACTAGTATTCACATGAATGAATCTCTAGTTGGTGAAGTAGGAAGACAACCAACTAACTATGTCCTTCTCTTCCAGGTAGGTCTAGCAAGGGGTATAGGGTGTGATGTTTTATTTTTGAATTTCTCTAGATTAGAAAACTTAATTCTCTTCTCTCAATTTTTGATTTCACAATATGTAAAATCAACACTAGGTATAAAGACCCTTCACGCATATATATAAAACACTTCCATAAGCCAGTAGGATTACATTTTAATCCTTTACCACATATGTGTGCCGCATGTCTAGGAGACACTTCCTTTGGGCTTGCCGCACCCTCTTTGTCACTAGGCTTTAGCCTGGTTTGCTTTTATTTTATTTATTTAGTTAATCTGGTCTTTCCTTTTGGATATAAACAACAAATAGAAGTCCCAAACCAATTAATAAAAATCATTTAATATAAACAATTTAGATTAAATTCAACCTTCACCAATTTTATTCTTTGATATTATTCTATTGTTAATAATTTGATTAATCAAATTAATCTTATTTTACAAAATTAGATCTAATTTAACATTGTAAGAATATTTACAAACTGAATAGTAACACCTAGCAATGGCTTTTGGCTACCTAGATTTGTCGGAATATGTTTGAATTCATAAAACACATATTTAGGACCTTAGTTATGGTTACAATGCAATTTTGTTCATCTGTCTACTATTTTCCAATCTACATTTTAGAGCTTGAAACATTTGTCAAACTCTAAGCATGAATATGACTGCCCTGATGTATCTCCTGTACATTGTTTTGGCCAAAGACTTTTGGAGATAGATCGTCAAGGGGTTACTAGAATGTCAACCTTCATGATACCTAGAAGGTGATAGATTCCTTGTTGTACATTCACGTATCTCCATATTGATGTACATGATTTCAAACCTCACACAATAGGGCTTCTTTTTCATTTGAGAGCTTCAAGGCGAGACCGAATATCACATTCCTCAACACCAAATAGTCAGTGATGCCTTAGGTCTAAGAACTAAACTAGTGATGTCATAAGTGTAGTACAATTGACAAGTAGGTAATCTTTCATTTGTACACTACTTGGTTGGTTAATGTTCAATGAACTCAATCTCATGTATAAGCACCTATATATATATACATGTCACTACATGCTTAGTTTGAGACTTACTACTAAATACGACATAAACCAGAATTTGAGGGTATTCGATAGTTCCTTCAATCATCTTATGGCTAGGAACATAATTTAGGACTTAAGATCCGTAGGTTATGTATCTTATGATTGGAACATCTTTGCAATCCTGTCCCTACAACTTAAGTTATTCCTTGGGCTTATCCTAATCAATAACAAAACTTCTTAATCCACTGTTAGGTCGTACTCAATTGACAGATGTTCTTAATTTCCTTTTGTCGTCAATGACTCAACATTATGTTGCCATGAATAACCAATTACATGTTGCCATGTCAATTGCTTTTTGGGCATACTTCAGTAACATCTTCATCATTTGACCAATTAGGTTCTCTAACATGATCTTTTGGCATCCTGAAAGTTTTAGAAATTGGAAGAAATAGTTTTGGAAGTGGGCAGAAATAAAAAATGGAGGAAATGTATGAGGAAAATGAATTTTTTTGTGGATGTGTGAACAACATAGTTTTTTTGGGTGAATTTTGCTTGTTTTAGCTGTTTGATTTACTTTTCGACTATTAGATCTATTTTTTTTACGGTTAGATTTGCTTATATTCAATCTCAGTTGTTGGATTTTATATATTATATACTTGATTTAAAAAATATAACTTGAATCTAGATAGTTGGATCAACCAACATCACATTATTTCTAGTCATCAGGTAAAAAAAAAAAAAAAAAAAGAGCCTTTGGGCTCATTGTAAGTGGCCGACAATGGTGCCAATGTTGGGACCCAGCAGTTGAAGCCTTGTCGAGTGTGATACGTGATGCACATTGATGGTCTGTGGCTGGGCCAAAAGCAAGCCATTCATGAGCACAGTTGGGGCTCATCAATTATCCTGGCTTAAATTTTGGGGGAAATTCGGCCCAATTTTTTTCTCCCTAAGCCTTATTCTAGCCCAATGATTGGAAATAGTTAGGGCATTTTGAAGCTTAAATATAAACTCTATCCTCACAATTGTAAATGGTCTAAAAGCATCTCTAAGAGAAACTATAAATAAAAAATAATAAAACAATAAAACTAGCAAGTGAATAGTGTTAGAAAAACTATTTTAGCTACTCAGTTTAATTTTTCATCTCCAACAATACTCTTGATTTTAACAAACTTTGCATACTTTATTATTAACAAATCAAATGCAACCCACTCATATTTTGAAACAACTTTATCTCTCTTCTACAGCATCTCTTGAAGATGCTCTATGCTTTTAGGTTATATTAAGCTTTCTATATATTATACTAGAAGCTTAACACAGAATGTTTTGAATGTATAAAGTAGTGCCACACAAAGCATTCTTCTGTAATAAGTTAAGCCCCCTGAAATTTTTCTCACGACGGTGACAGCTAGAATTCATATCAAACGGTAGAGCATCCAAAAGTGCTATTAATAAAAAAGAAGATGCAGTTGAATAATAAGAGATATATATCGTCTGAAACACACAAACCACACACACACACACACATATATATATATATATGTGAAGTAAATTAATGGTGATGCATGGTGGAGGAATGTTATATGCCCTTAAGTCCTGGGGTCCTATATATATTCTTAACAATATCGAAGTCTCACCTTTAATTTGCGATTCAAACAAGAATTCTCTGCTGAAGGCAGCAATTAATTAATGATTATATAAAAAAAAAAAAAATACGTACGAAGTCGAATGCAGTCATATGTTGATCTTCATTTTCGGTATTAAGTGATTATTATGGCTCCTCTTCCGTCGTTCCCTTGGCATCCGATCTCTTCATGATCCTAAGCCTCTTGCATGACTTAATAAACATCCTGCAAATGACAAGCATAATTAATTAGACTAACTACTACAAATTTGATATAATTAAAATCAGGTTTATTGAGCCTTCACAAAATTTAGAATTAGAGCTCTTGCTAACGCAAAACCAACAGGCAAGTGTAGAGGTTCATAACATAAGCTACCCCTTCCTTGATGTATGATATAGTATTGGCTATTTAGTCAAAAAGGTCCTTGAGATTCACTTACCTCTTCACTTTGGTCCATAAAATTTGAAATCAATAGAATTGGTCCCAGAGTTTGTCTAAAATCAATCATTTTAGTCATTCCATGAAAAATCTCCATAAAATGACAAAATATCCTCAATTTTTGTCAAATCAGTGTGGCCTATTGTTTGTTAAATTGAGGTTAACTTTGTCATTTTGATCCTTATTTAACATAGTTTTTCACCCAAAGGCTAAAATGATTGATTGTGGACAAACTCAGAAACCAATTATATTGATTTCAAATCTCAGAGACCAAAGTGAGAAGTTATGCAAATCTCAAGGGGCATTTTGGCTAAAAAAACCTATAATACTTTCAACATTTTCGACGTACTCACTAAATGGGCTATATCTATTAAATAAGTACAAAAAAAAATGATAGTCATACGCCTTTTTTCTCCATATAATAATTTGTCTTAGTAAGCTTTAGAAATAAGGAAAACTAATAAAAAAAATTTAAAAACTTTATTCATGACTAATCCGTAAGACCTCAAAGGACATTATTCTGCCCCACATCATTACAAAAAATGCTTAATTATGTCGGCAGTATGACCAAATATATGTGGTAAAAAAAAACAAAAAGATATTCGAATAATGTGAGAAATTGTGGAAAGACATATATAATTCTTCGTCCCTTACCTTTACAAGGATGAAAAAATTAATAGCATGCATGCCTAATGAGTGCCGGTTTTATAGACTTGATTAGTGTTAAGTCAACCAATATAGACCGTTAACCCTATACACTTTACGACTAATCTTTAGCAACCATTATTGACCATCTACATGAACCTTATATGCAAATCCAGTTGTATTCCAAGATCTTTTTTTAATTCTGCGTTTCTTAATGACCCTTAATTTTTTCATGAGAGATTCACACTCAAGAAAATTCAACATGAAAATATAAGTTGTCTAATAGATTTGTTTAGCCACTTAGCACTAATATTCATCTTCACTTGAAACTAAAAGGTCTTAGATTCGATTCTTGTCAAAATAGAATTTGAACCACATTATTACTAACCATAATATCGTTTGTTCAAAAATGAAAAAAAAAAAAAATTGTTTAGAGCCTTATCTTTGAAAGCATTTGCTCAATTTACTCGTCTTTTACGCTCAATTGGATCATGGAAAGTTGTATCACCTCCATTAAGGATATATATTTCCAATCTTTGTATATGTTTGAAGTTAGATTATCCCCATTTTTCAGTTCTAATCCTCAATTAGTGGTCAACTTAATTAAGTAACCCAGGTCTTGGTGTTGCCATAGGCATGGTATTTGTCCATAATAATACTGCAATCTTTGTATTAAGTTCTCAATAATATGTTTAGCGCGCACTTGTAAACTGTAATTCATAAGTATAAAAAAATAGAAATTATAATTCATGTCATTTACGTGTTGGGATTTTGGTTTGAAAGACTTACTCCCAAGGAACGTCTCCCACTAGCATCCAGTCTCCATCTTTGTCTTCATAAATGGGTGCAAATTCACAGTTGTCTGCATTTTTCAACACCTCGCCTGTAAACACACACAGATAAATTTACACCCCACATTGTAATTTCAGAATATGCATAGATAAAGGTTTGATAAATAAACAAAAATAAAAAAAACTATTTCCTTCAAGTGTTAGTTGTTGTACATACATATAATTAAATACATAAAAAAAGATTGTATATTTGATCAATGTTCGTAAGTTCAGTCTTCAACATTCCACCTTGTTTCAAATTAAAAAAAATATATATATATATTCAACCACTTTTTCCAGAACCACTTGGACAAGAATGTATAAAAGAAGGATAATGCTAAGGAAACCAAATTAAACATGGTAGTGATGATCATGTTATTTTTTTTCTCCTATTGTTAATGCGTACATAATCAAATTTCACATATAATTTTAAGTTAATTACTCCTATAACTAATGAAGCATAAAATGAATGTCTATATTGCAATTAAATCTTAATATGCGCTTTCCCATAATACATATCTTTGTTTTCAAAATTGAAATAAGAAATAAAGTAAAATTTAATTAATTAAATAGGAAGAGAACTTAATATACTTTATACTAATAGTAAAATGAATATACTGAATCATGTATCAGTATACTCACCGATGCCATAGCAACCAAATAACTTCTCCAACGCGAGAGCAAGATCTGCATACTCCTTGTGCATGGTCAAGTCAATTTTACGAAGAAAAGGTGCTCCATCCATGCTAACTTTGACGTACATTTTCGACGTCTCATTCAAGCCATTAATCTTCATTCTGTATGAACACAATGGAGGCCACCCCACAACCTGATTCTTTGTCTGACTTTTCCGGCAGTCACCAGGCGTGGTACTATTCCGGCCATCTCCACCGTCAATCTTTGAAAACACCCTTTTCTTCTCGTTTTTGTCCACTAAAATTGGACCACTAGACACTCCCAACCGCAGCTCTGTAAGTTCAAGCCCTAAACCTTCTTTGGCCATTTGGGTTTTGAGGTTTGAACAATTTGGGTGTGTTATTTTCCTTGTTTGGATCTACTGCTGATTGGTGGGAAATGGGATTTTTGTATACAGTTTTAAGTGACTAAAGGCAAGTCCTTATACATGGTGTGAAGTATAGAAATATAGGACATGGTGGGAGCAATGACAGGTCAACTGTGCCTTAGTTGGTCGGTCACATGAGAGGCAAAAGTGGGGACTATGTGCCCCCTACAAACACTAATAAAGGCCGGCACCATAAGTTGGATATGGGACAGATCCTAAAGCTATTGGCGCTTTGAGATTTGGTGGGATCTGATCTTCACCGTCCGATCTCCTCCCTTGGAACAGGTCACGTGATTTTTTTTATTGTGGTTGTGCTTTGCCTAATTCTATGTCATTTTTTTGGGGTTTTATTATTATAAGACGAGTTGGGATAGCATCATGAAAGATGGGATTATGGTTTTACAACATATATATATATATATATGTATGTATGTATGTATGTATGTATATGTATACGTATATGTATATGTATAATGTATGGTCATCCCATTTGTTGTGCATGAATCATGATGCAGCTAGGATTATTACTTAGCTGTCTGTGAACTCGTACATTGATACGTGCATGGATAAAATTTGTTTGTGCATGCGTTGGCGCTAGGATGCCTTGATGGTGCATGCATATGTTAATAGCTACCTGGTAATACCAGCTAGCTGTGTTGTTTTCTAAAACAATAGATAAGATAACCAATAAGCTTTAGAGTTTGCAGTTGTAGCTGCCAATGCTAGCTTTGCCAGTAAGAGACTATTTGGAGGAGGGGCGGGGTGGGGGTTGATGTAGCGTATCCTAGAACTACTCTTATATTAATTATTAACCTATGTGGTTAGACTAAGCTAAACACATAAATGAATTATGCTACGATAATGTATTTGGTCGAGTAATTTTCATTAGCAAGGAATTTAAGTTATGGTTTGGACTTCAATATAGAGATACGAATTTTTAAATGACTCCTTTAGTTAATTACAAATTTCTTTCACAACCTGATTCAACCCTAAACACATAATGCCAGCAGCTACCTTGGGAGCAGTGGGTTATGGTTGCATGTGGTGGAAGGTGTGCAGATTATGTTCTTTGTGGGTAATTTATAGTTCAGGCAAATTAATTTACAGCTAACGGTGATTTTTTTAAAGTATTATCGCCTTCTTATTAATTAATGACTAAAATTAGTTTTTGTCGTCACATGTTTCATTTGGTTGTGATTTGTTGCAATTCAAAGAAAAAGCTACTTACATTCAATAGGAAATTGATGCATTAAGAATAGAGTGGGCTGAGTATGTTGATGACTTCATCCCAATAGATAAAACACTAGACTAGCTAGCTTGTGAAATTTTAAATTCAGTGGTTTTATTTTAGTAGGAAATCTCTACACATTTTATTAAATGTGTTGATTGTGAGATTGTTTTTTGTAAACTTGGGTTTACAAATTTATGAAGCAATACTAGTTTATTTAAGGTAAATATCTTGCTTTCTGGATGAATTATGTAGGTCTTGCTTTCAAATTAAAAATACATTAGATATGTCATCAAACATATTTCAGGACATGTATTAAACGGCTTATGACACACTTTTTGTGTCGTTTCTAATATTCAATGACACTGCAAATGGTTTCAGTGCTATAGTCATAATTAGTGTACCATGACACTCATTTCTATGTTTATGACACATATTCCGCATCTCAAATTGAAATAAATGACATGCTTTTTTAATTCAATGACGTTTGTTAGGCGTCTCTAGCAGCTATACATGACACTGTGCGTACGTCATGTTTAGTATACCATGTCGCTCATTCATCTATTTATGACACTTATTCCGTGTCTTAAATGGTAATATATGACACAAGTTCTTAATTCAATGACGCTTTTTAGGCGTCCTTAAAAGTAATACATGACACTCTTTCAACGTCATAAAAAATATCTTTAATGACACCCACAAAGATGATACTAAACCCTTGTGTCATTAAACTTTTAACATGACGCATAAACTGCATCATGTAAGTAAAAATTTGTAGTAGTGACAGTCACATAGCGTAATCATTTCACTCAAATTATAACTCGTGAATTTATTTATTTTATTAACATACCCTAGAAGTGAGATATATGAACTATGTCATCCACCTTTAATATAAAAACTAGAATGATAAACCGCATGACTCGTATTTCGAGTAATCATAAAAATTTATAAAGGGTGAAGGGGGTGTGGAAATTTGTTATAGCTAAAAAATGTTATCATTTGGTATGGTACGAAAGCATTGTGTGGATATAGAGTGATGCAATCTTATAAAATTTGAATTTCAATTGCCAAAAAACGAGTATATGTAGGCCTAATTTAACTGAACAATGACAAAGAGAGAGGGGTGCGGTGGCAAGGAAAGAAAAGAGAGAGATGTGTGATTTTGAGGTGTGTGTTATCTCACCTTTTTGTGGTTTTATTTATAGTAGTAAAGAAGGTAAATTCCTTACCCTAATAGGATTACTACTCTAATAGGATAATATCGAATCTAAGAGATAGGTTTACACGATCACATTCCTAATCTAATAGAACTGCAACACTCCCCCTTTTAAGTGTGCAAATACTCAAACAAAACATCGCATCAGGTCTTCAGCGAATGAAGTAGGTTAGTTGATGAAGTTATCGGCAATAACGGGTGAATGAGAGTCTCAAATTAACAAAAGTATGCATTGGTAGAAAAACTCACAAAACCTTGCTATGGTTAAACATAAAGTAGGTGAAAACCCCATAGACTATGGAGAAACGTGAGAAGTATGCATAATGTCAAAAACAAACGTCATACGGGATGAAAGTAGTAAACCTCATAATGGTATGACTAGCCTAGGATGGGTGCTTCATCAAAACCTCATTAGGTAGCAAAAACCCAGCAGGAAAAATACTCATAATCGTAGGGAAAAATAGTACAGTAAGTCTCGGCTCTGGTTCAATTCCTCAACAAGTGCTCAGACCCTGCATTTATCTCCTCAAAATTAGTGGGAGAAATAGTCGAACAGATCAAAGCCTGGGCATGCTTCACATTTTAGAGATCATTTACATTGAAGGGAAGCACTTCATGGTCGTAGACATGCATGATTATCAGTGGAGAAAGAGCCCCTCTCTTAATTGTGCCAGAAAAACTTGACGTTCCGACAGATGATTGTTGAGGTCCGACGAAGTTGATTACTACTCATCGCCCCTAGAGATGTTGACACAAAGTTGTTCAGATCCTATCCCTTGACTAGGAGTATGAGTAAGATTATTTAACTGTTGTTGCTACTGCTATTCCTGTTGTTGTTGTTGTTGTTGTTCTTGCTGTTGTTGATGTTGCTGTTGCTACTGTCCTTGTTCTACGACCAAATGAACCTGGATCCTAGGGGCATCGACAAAGCTCTCGCCTTTACCTGATGAAAGTTTTCTTTCATCCTTCTCACTGGCAACTGATACTTAATGCTGCTCCATTTCAATCATTGCTAACTCAAATAGGGTGGGGTCCTAGATCTCAAGCACTTTGTTAACCTCTTCATGAACGGCTCCAGAACTCTTCACCATATTAGATTTCTTCTTGGAAGACCTAGCATCACTAGCTTTCTTTACGGCACTCTTAGGTTTCTTCTTCTTCTTCTTCTTCTTCTTCTTCTTGAGTTTAGGGATGTCTAGAGTATTTTCTAAATCTTTCCCATCCTTGGCAGTCGTTGTATCGACCCATGTTAAGTTTGTAATATGGTGGTTAGAGAATTGGTCCATGATGGCATTTCTCCTATGCTTTCTGAGTCTTTTTGAGCTATGAACCACTTCTAGTTTCGATGCTCAACATAAATGATCTTGAAGGCCCTATCAATCAACTAAGGGCGACATTAACCAATACCTTCCACATTATTATTGTTAAGAGTAACCCAATAGTTACTACACTGGAGATTGATTGAAGTAGTATTTTGAAATCTGAACTCAAAATTGTCACTCTCCTAGTTGATGTCTCAACTAAGACATTCTTATACTAGCCTTTGTCATGGCATTGCATATTAGTGTTATAGGTAGGCCTTCTAATTGGTCGGGACTTAAAGAAGTAATGGGGATCGATACTTTTTTACAAAATGCACAATATATAGAACAGTTGAATACCAAGCTCTGCTCCATACTATTCGGTCATGAGCTTGAAGTAGGTAATAATATGAAACAATGCAGGCGTATGATTGCAAAGGTTAATCTTGTAGTAATTCAAGATTTGCTTCAGAAATAGGGAAAGATGAATTTCAACCCTAAATCCAAGTACCAAGGGTGAATCTTGGTAAATGGGTGTTTAAGATCAGCAGGGGTAGGCAATGAGCTTTGGACATCGTGGCTAGCTTCACACCGAATGGTGCACCTATTTAGAAGGAGTTGGCGAATACGAGCAAAGATTTCTCTTTCTTCTTTACTACGCACTCTGACCATAGGAAGATCATACTGAGAATCATAATTGGCTACTAAGGCAGAAAGCACATTAGAAGGAGTAGCCATTGAAGAAGAATGAAGAAAAGAAAGAAATTGGGAAAGATCAGAAAAGTAGAAAAATCCAACCAAAAGGGAGGAAAAGCTCTAAACTTTTGGAGAGAAAAGAATTAGGAATTTTGTAGAAAACAAATAAGGAGATCCGAACATATTTAAATGAGATATTTCAGAGTCATCTCACTAATGAATCCAGATAGTTTATCCTTGAGATCAATAAATATAACAGCTAAAGTTAATGGGGAAAGCAACGGACAATCCCTCGTTCTCTGTGCAGAAGCAACTAAGACGTCTCCATCATTGCGATATTCATGGCATGATCTTTAAAGCAACATGCCTGAATGCTGAATAACTCAAGAACTTCGCAGTATTCACAAAAGCTCAATATGCCACACGTCAGAATAACTAAAACAATATGTAGTCCGATTTACTTTGAAAGGCATGGTCTCTGAATAACTAAATATCTTCAAGAGGAACAAGTCAATTTAGATACATAGTAGGGGGTAATTATGGGACCATGATTTTCAAGGGCTAGAGTAAGATGGATCGGAATACGAATACCTCAAAAGTCCTG